AAGAAAAAAAATCTTTAATATAACAGATATAGATACGCATTATACTGAGGGGGTTGTAGCTTACTATGTGAATTTAAATTGTACAACAGTACTGTCAATAAGAAAATAATTTTTCAGCTGTACAATAATTTATCCGTAATTGGGTTTTTCGCAACTTCATGTTCCACGGGTGTTGTAATGGGCCTTTTTCTTTCTTCTCTAATACTGTTTCATGCTTTTTTTTTTCATTTTTTCTATCTTTTCATTTGTAGCTTTAACAATTCTATTTTCTCAGGTGTATCAGTTAATATGCATGATGCGCGATCAACCATTAAATAAAATAAAAAAAAATTAAAGGAAAAATTAATAAATTTATTATGGAAAATTAAATAATGATAATTTTAAATGCATACATATTTTTTAAACTTATAATATCATGAGGATAATAATCTTAATACTATGTAGGGGCACTTGTGAACTGTTCACATCTGCCCCAGATATTTTGTTCACAAGAGCCCCCATCATCCTTCTTAAACCTAACTTGAAAAATAAAGAACTTTTAATTCAGTAAAAAAAAAGAATAATTGTCATAAACTTACCTGAATGTTCATATAATGATCTGCAATAGTTAATTTTAGTTTAGTAGTTGATTTATATTATGCTTTCACTTGGAGAAGCGAGCGATTATAATACATATATGCAACACCAGCTGATACAAAGAAATTGTCAGAATAGACCAACAAAATGTCTCTTTGTTCTAAAAGTTTTTCAGAGAGGTAGGACTAGTACTGCCATCAATTGAAAATTTTTCGAGATTTTTTATTTCAAATCATATTGGTAAAACATACCATGTTCACATGTGCCCCCTGTTCACATGTGCCCCCCTCTCCCCTAAATGTTATAATTTATAAAATAAAAAATTTTACTTGTAAATAATATTTTTTTTTTAATTGGATGATAGTTTTCTATAGAATGGTTTTCTGCGACCGATTATGAATAAAACAAAAACATGAAAGTTTTTTTTTTATTTTAATGTGAAGAATTTTTAGAATTGTTTTTTTTTTCTTCTTTTGTTTCGTTGTATTCTTTATTTTACGTTTTTTAGCTTCTAAATAATTATTTTTACTAAAACTTAAAATTTTTTGATAAAAATTTTTGTCAAAAAACTTTTTTTACAAAATTAAATTATATAAAATTATGAGGCTTATGTATACTTTGAATAATTTATAAATTTTTAAGCTCCTATACATTATAAACTAGTTTTTGAGAAAGAAAAAGTAAAATTAGGTAAGTAAATAAAAATATTCAGAATTGTTTTTCGATAAATAGAGGGAAAAAATTTTGGAGCTTACAATAAAATAAAATTAAAGAAATCTGAATTTTAAAAAATAATTCTTGATAGTTTCATATGATTCGGTACATGTTGAATAAAAATTATCTTTGATAATTTTTTCAAAAAGACAATTTTTAATTCCACCCTTTCTCCCCAAAGTGCTATGATTTGCCTGCCGGTAAAAAATTTCTTAGCACTACAACACTAATTAGCAATCGTTGTTGCACTTCAATAATTTCTTTCCTAGAAAAAAAAACTCATGGGAAAAAAATGTTTCCCTCTTTCAAATTACCAAGTAAAAAAATTAGCCTTTAACTATATTTGTTAAGAAAACTAATTTTTAAATATTAAGTAGATAGTCCTAATGTGACACGTTTAATATGATAAAAAATGACAGGATATAAAAAATAACATAATTCAAATTATCCAAAAATATTATACTATTAAGATTTATATATAAAAATGTAAAATGTTTTCTATTTTTATGAATTATGATCAATATTACATTCGAGTTCCACATCTTATAGCATATGCCAAATGTAAGAGTTATAAAAAAAACGAGAAAAGTTCTTTAACAAAATTATTTTTATGGTTTACAAAGTATATTTTTTCACTAAAAAAAAACTTTGGAGCTTATATATAATATTTAATGCTATAACGCAATTTAGCATAGAGGCTATTCTTTGATTGAGGTCCTTTCCTTTCTTTTTTTCAATTTTATGAGGGTAATTAAAGTTTGCAATTTATAAAAAAAAATGTTCAGCCTTGTTTTAATGCTTAGCTTACAGGTTCTAAATATTAACATCCTGTTATATAAATGCCATATTTGAAGCCTTAAAAAATATTTCTGAATTTTCAACAAAAGAAATGTTTAAAATGTTTCAATACTTTAAATTTTATTTTATACATAAAATACAACTAATTCACATAGAATTTTTAACCTTCACATCCTCTTTCATTAGCACCTATTGAAAAACTAAATGCAGACTTAGTAATTGTTTTTGAAGATTCCGCATCATTATAACGCTGCATGTCTCGCATAGTGTCTCAGTTATTACACCTATATGTCTCACATACATTTTTTTTCTGAGATTAATTGCAGTGTACCATAGATTAAACTTTTTGATTCTTGTTTAAATCAGATTTTTAATGCATTGATTGGTACTGTGAGTATTATTAAAATATTTTCTTTTCAAATAATTTTACTTATTCTTTAGGAATTTTATCAAGATTTTAAAATTTTCAGTAAGTGTTATGGATGGTTGACTGAATGTAAACAATAACTAGTTTCCAAAAACGGGAAGAAATTTAGAAAACTTTGGGTGTATCCCTCCACTTATGTTATATTTACGAGGCTATATGTGAACAGGCTTAATATTCCAGCGATTATGCTATCCCTTATTTAGCTATTTTTAAGTAAAATAATGCCGTTAGTTATTTTTTGGGTTGCATCTTGCCGAGCATAGCATACTTGCGGAGCATTCCTAATTCTTATGTTGCTTACTTCGTTGATTTTTAAATTCTGAAAACGCGTTATATTGTAAACACTACAAGTATAATAATATTTAATGGCACCCTTTTTCAAGCTAAAGCGTAAAAATCAATCGGAAGTAATAACCCGGAAGTCTTAGGCGAATTTTACCCCCTAGTGCCATCTGTGCTAAGCATTACACAGTAAACCATTCATTTTTAGAATATCAAATCTGCTTTTTTTTTTAAAAAAAAAGGAAAAATATTATTTAAAAGATGACATATGATTGAATTAGGAAGATAATTGGGTAAAATAAAATATTAATTCAATTAAAATTTCCTTTTAAATAATAGATTTTTTTAATATGATATGTATATGTATTTTTAATATGATCTAATACATATAATATATGAATTATGATTCTTTATGTGTATTTTTATTCTTCCAGCTTTGTTTACGTTAGAGTTATCTTATAAGCTTATTATAAAATAACTCTAACATAAACAAAGCTGAAGGAGAAAAAACATACATAAAGAATCACCTTCACCAAAAAATCATATATATA